ACAATCATAATGTAACGTTAGACATCGTAAAAAAAGAGGTGATTGCAATTCACAAGAGGTCCAGTTAAAAGTAACATTGTAGCAACTCAGACCGGGGTCAGTACTAATCAAACATACTCACTTGAAAAAGATCGGATTGAAAAAGATCGTCAAGTGAGTCCAACTCACTTAACGGAGCGGATTTCCGCTGCGTTGACTCACGAGACTAGGGTCGCCATCTTGACAATTTTCCGCGATGCGCCCTCACCGTCAATATTTAGCTATTTTATGACAGAGGGCACTGTGTAGCACTGGGTTTGTGCGCAAGTGTATGGCGCAGCACTTTTTTGCTACACGCCGCGGCCCCGTGATTTTCTTGCGCCTTCGTCTTGCATGAGTGTGTGCACGTACGTGCACTTGAAGGTGTGGTTCTTAGACCATCCAATCAACCGTGCTATAGCATATCACCTGACTAAAATTTCCGTGTCGCATGCAGCACAGTGCTATACACACAGGTTCTGTCTGCTTCGGTCTCATTTCCGGCTGGGTAAAACTGTGAGTGTGAGCCCGTTAGATTGAATGGATAAAGGCAAAAAGACTGAAAAATACCTCAATAACGTGAGTGAAATCATTCAGTAAATGGTTTTTAAAAGCGGAAAGGTCAAGAATCTTGTTCGTGGGCAAAAGAAATTGCGCCTACGATGATAAGTGGGTGTGCCAAAATGTTCAATACGCCGCCACGAAATTGCGCATACGGATTTGTGGCTAAGGATGGATCGGGAGTGAGAGTCCGTGCCACACTAGTGGGGCTAATTAGTACCAGGACACTTTCCAATTGTTTACCTAACACCTGTCATGACTATTACAAGACGTTAAGCCATTTAACCATGGTTAAACCTACATGTAGCGCTAGGGTAAGTGGTGTTGACCAAAATCAAAATGGATATTTGGTACATAGGCCTACGTGTGCATCATTACTTCGAGAACTCGAAGTCACTAACTCTGGTACTCTGTGTGACTTGGAGGAAACAAGGTTTTACATGGCATCATAATGTTATCGGGTTTGGAATCGAATTTTTGTGATGAAATGGTTTACAGCCCTAAGAAAGCTATTAAACCAAATTTGGCAAAATGTTGCATCCTGACTCCACTTCAGCAGTTGTGCAAAGTCTATGGGGAGTAAAGAGAATTTTCGAAGTATTTCCCAACAACATCGGTCATGTCAGTAAATGTTTTCTCAGTACAGAATTTGTGTCTTTCCAGCATTTCTGTAATGACTGACTTTTATTGAGACGAAACACAAGTAGGCCCCTATGATAAGAAAAGTGGAGTCAGGATGCAAGATTTTTTCCCCCAAATTTTCCCCAGTCAGCATACATGTACCTGCTTGATCTATACCTGTTATTGCTAATAAGGGAAAAACAATAGTTTCAGAGCATGAGACAGAGTATTTTGGGAAAAAAGGAGGTCTTTTGCTCACCAATTTCTCGCTTCCACCCGTTGACTGTCGCTCCGTTCATGCCGTTCGTGTTTATCAGACTGCGCATGCGTTGAGCCCACCGATGACTGTGCTTGCTCCGCATCTTGGCTCGACCATTTTCGGTGGCGGGGTATAATATCACACACGGCGCAGCACATGTCGCGCATCTCGCCTGATGCGTGTTTCCAGGTCGCAACAACGGCCAGGATGGGCCCATGATGAAAACAACACAAGATGTCATCCCCTCCACCGAAAATGGTTGAGCCAAGATGCAGAGCAAGCTCTGTCATTGGTACGCTAAACGCATGCGCAGTCTGATAAAAACGAACGGCATGAACGGAGCGACAGTCAACGGGTGGAAGTGAGAAATTGGTGAGCAAAATCTCCTTTTTTTCCAAATACTCTGTTTCATGCACTGAAACTATTGTTATCCCCTTTTTAACAGGCGTAGATCAAGCAGGTATGCTGACAAGGGATTTGATTTAATAGCTTTCTTAGGGCTGCAAACCATTGCACCACAAAAATTTCATTCCAAAATCCCGTAGTGTGACAATGCCATGTCAACCTTGTTTCCTCAAAGTCACACGGAGTATCACAGAGTTAGTGACTTCGAGTTCTCGAAGTAATACATCGTTATCATGTAGTCCTGACATGTACATGTAATACGAAGCCCATGACTAACAGTAGTGAGCATGTCAGTAGACATGGTATGTGGGTACGGGTACCTTTTGTCAGCTTTACTTTGGGTTTGCAAATCATACATTGTACTTACACGTACACTTATGACACATTTTGCTTTTGGGGAGGCGCCAGGCTTTTTGATATTTCATACCCACCTTCATGTACATGTATGTACATCATGTACTAGTAGGTAACGGGACTTGATGGGTGCAATCGGTCTGTTATGGTCATGTTTGTATGGTTTACGTGCAGTCCTCAAACTGCGATCTCGCTAGTTTTTATGGATTGGTGTGCATGTACTTATTTTTAACAGTATGGCCTACATGAGAATGAGGAAAGTTGTGCAGGACGCAATCATCATTGTTATGCTTGTACATATATGCATTCCTCTGTCTGCATGCAGCCCACATCATGCATGTCCACCTGCCTCCGGTAAGAATAATTTACTGGAAACACTCTCGCATTTAATTCGCGTGTACCTGCATGTATATTTTGTGGATTTGTTTGAAACAAATGCATTTGAGGTAGGCCTAGGTAAATGTAGACGTCTTTTGAATTTTATGCCCAGTTGGCAAAGCTTACTCTACCTTGTACCCTCTCTGTGAGCCTAAGTACCTGCACAAAATTCGGTTTCCCCCCCCCATAACTTCAGTCTGTTTTGGCAAAGTTTGAATTTTTGAGACGAATGTGGCTCAATGATTCAGCTATTGCCTCCCACTTGGTTGACAACATTCCACATTGCCCCAGACGCATTCCCAACTGCTGGTGCAAGTGTTCTGTTCAGAAGCCTGCTGAGGTCAGAGGTCATGCTTTGTCATTGTGGTCAGAATAATTTCTTCCCTGCCCCTGACTCATAAAAACTTCCAGATATTAAGCTTGGTACAGTGTACTGGTACTCGGTACGTGTACAAGTACAGTACATGCAGTCTTAGTGTTTTTAGAAGCCAATGGACTCCGTACTGCAAAGGGTCAAGGTCATTTGTGACAGTAGACCCATAGACAAGAAAGACTCGTCACGTGAACTTCAAATTTGATACTGTTTTATTGTTTGAGGGTCCTAGTCTTATTCATTTGTTGAATACTGCTTTAATGTTAAACCAAAGCCAATAATTTAATGGTATTTGAGTTTTTTAATACATCATTCATGTTTTATGTGCAATAATGTGCCCATTATTACTTCGGGAATGTACAATGATGACCAACATTTTTTTGGCTCTCTGATTTCACTGATCTCTTTGCAAAGTGGTGTTCAACTACATGTAAACTTTGTGTTTTGTAGTCTTTTGAAAACTTCAACCTGTTTGTTGATTTACAGTACTTTGATATTATTTGATCCCTGTGCAAGGATTAAATTTTTTTTTAAATTTATTTTATCTTATTTCAGCCAACATTACTCAAGATGTATTTCGCCTTGCTAATAAGAGTGCCAATGCACAGCTTGGTCTTTGGCACCGACTGCCCTGCCAATCTTATCGACCAGAGGAACATCCCTTCGGTATTGTGTGGTACAGAGGACGTAGCATCGATGACCCGGCAAGACAGACACTGATTACCTACCAAGATAACGATACTTACCGGGAAAGCGACAGATATGTATTTTCATCTAATTTTGGCCTTATTATCAAAGGCATTGACAGAAGAGATGAAGGCAGCTTTCTTTGTGAAGTCGTCTTTAAAAATGCTGATAGCAGAGTAGAGGAAATCAACTTACAAGTCATAGGTAAGCATTGAAAGACATTTTGTTCTCATTAGATATTGAGTTGAGTGTGTGATCATAAAATACAAAACTTGAATTGCCAGTCAGACTTGAAACATTACATAGATCCCAAAAGAGATTTTTGTGAAGGTTACTGTAATAAGCAAATGTTTCTGTTTGTTTGTTCATATGAAAGGGTGATACTGCATGGATGGCTGTTCAAGCACTCAGTTTTGTGCATGTATCTGTGTACATGTATACACTGTACGTGTAGGTTCAAATAATGAAAAACTGGACTGTTGTAACTTTTTGGTGAATGGACGTTGCCGGTTGACTTTCTGCCATGTTCAAAAGAAGCAAGAAACCACGCAGTTAGGCAAAGTCAAACTCAACCAATGAACTCATCACTGAAGTTTTCAAGATTCTACTCTTGAATTACGATGAAACTGTACATGGTACGTGTATCTCGATACCATGGACCCCGCTGTTTCTGTCGGCCTTGATTAAACCACTCAACCTGCATGAAGGTTGCGCTGAATGGGTAGGGGATGGATTTTCAACAACTTTCTTTGGAGACTTCAGTGACGTTTCATTTGCCCCGTTCATATTTAGATGACTACTTTCCACCAAGAATCGGTGACGGGTCACTGCCTGCCAATCTCCAGCGAGGACACAGACACAAGGTGTCATGTCGTGCACCTCAGACCCCGGAGGCACCAGTAGACGTGGTGTATTGGTCAGTTGGAGAAGGCATCACTACAGACACAGAAATCATTGCCGCAAGATTCATCAAGCATGGCGGTACCAACCTGTTTTTCAACTACGGTGCTGATTTCAGTGTCAACAGCGACGCTTCACTTACTGTCAACTCGCTGGAAAGTTTCCAGGAGAACAGGGTGACGTTATGGTGTCACGTATTCCAGTCGAATGGCACGCTCAGCAGCTCTTCCACCGAGGTTTATATCTCAGAAGGTAATTGTTCAAAGCAAGGAATCAAATTGAGTTGTTTTATGTGGGAGGGGCGCTATCTGGTGGGGGGTGAGCATGAACAGGCACACCAGAACACCCTGGGCTCAGATCTCTGCTGGTGTTATTGCTATTTAAATTTCAGCAGTAGACAGGCCAACAGCGGAGGGGGCGGCAAACATGAGGAATTTAAAGAAAAAGAAACACAACTTAAGTTAATTGTTCCTTCTAGGTGAATGGCAGGAAATGTACATGTATAATCTGAATGTATTGAAATGGCACAGTTTGAGCCTAAAATGATGAAATTGGAAATGTCTGAAAAAAACAGTTTAACTATTCAGCCTTCCAAATTGATTAATTGCCAAGAAAATTAAATTCACACTGTGGACTTCCTCCTGATGGAAATAACAAAGAGTTCACCCTATTGTCATTATCCAATCCTAAAATTACATGTACATTAGAATAAAAACAATAAATCAATATCCCTCAAGTACTGGGGAGATTACTCTCTAATCACTGTGTACCTTAGAGATAGAATCTAATATAATTGAAATCCATTCATTCCAAACAATTTCAAAATTAAAGCAATAATCCTCAAGTACATTTGCCCGTCTCATTAATTTACTTGTCACAGTTTGCCCAACATGTGCCTGTACATGTACATGCAAGTAATGTACACTTATGCGAAACAAGAAACTTCCTTCAATTTAATGATCTAAACTACATAACCCCACATAATTACTCCACCATAGATCCTACTCATAGTTTTTGGTCTCGGCACCATGGACGTCGATACAGATATATGTATATATACATGCACATGTATATGTATATGCAATCCAGACTTGTCTGAGCACACTGCTACAAGGCCGCCATTATTTTACCGCTCGAAAGTAACAAAACCATTTGCCCAATTTACCCGTAAAATAATGTATTTGTACCCTTCCCACGATGTCTAACAATTTCTCTACTCCCCTGGAAACCCATTCGATGATTTACAAGAAATTTACAAGCCCAAGAAGAGTGAAATTTACCTATTTAAATTTCAGCAGTAGACAGGACAACAGCGGAGGGGACGGCAAACATGAGGAATGCCCCTGCCACCGCATGGTGGCGCTGTTGTTACACACCAGCATACTCACAATTATATGTACGATATGCATGACATCCCTCACATTTATATGGTACATGTAACTAGCAGACATTAATTTAGGGATTTCCGATCTTTAAAACAAACTTTACGAAATGCAGTCTGAAAATATCAATCATCTTGTGGTTTGAACTTTGTTATACCGGTATTTCTCACAACCATCTTAGAAAAATACCTGCGAAGAAACAAGTCAACTTGGATGGCCCAAACTGGTCCTTTTGTGCTTGGAATGTACCTTATTCTTCATTTCTCAGTCATCATTGCTTGACATCATATAGAGAGGTCATATTTTCTGTTATTAAAATCCTCAATCTGTCAGCACTTGGACATATTGGCCAGTTAAGGACTGTTAAAGGCTAAAAAAGTTCATTTAGAAGTGTAGACTTCATTCGTCCTAGGTTTCACGCCCTTCTGATTCTGTATAATGTACAGTATGTATGTAGTAGTAGCGTTGTGTACATAACTTCTCTATCTGAATTCTTTTGTGTGCACTCAGATAAAAATTCCAGCACTGCTTTCAGGAATTCAACAACCTCGACCTTCTATCTGAAGAGGGGATCGACGCAAGTCCTTCCTTGCACCAGTTGGACACCTGGTGATGCAATGTGTAACGTCCAGTGGTTTCATGAGTCAAGTGAACAACCTGTTGTTAGTTACAATGTTTCGGCCAATATCCTCGAAGTGGATTCCGTGTATGACTTTGCTGGTAGTTTTGGCCTGGTGATCTCATCGGCCAACAGTAGCCATGCTGGACAGTACAACTGCACCCTGGCTTCTACTGATTCAGGAACTAAGATTGGAGTCATCAATGTGTTTGGTATGTCTCTCAAAAATGATGGAGCTGCTTCACAATTCCCATCACTCCAGCACTGATATCACTTTGTATAAACTCTGATCTTTCGTAAACTCATCATTAGGTTTGATATTTGCTTTTTCCCGTAAATTTACTTGTCCATCAATGTGCAAGTTGATTGTGCTATTTATGCCTTACCAATCCATCTTATCCATTTTGCCACCTGTGTTTTTCTCAGGCATCGGTTTTCCAACAAGTGTAATCTAGAGGGAAATGTTCATGAAATGATCAAGAGTTTTTTGTGACAGATGTATCACACGTGTCCAGCCCTCTTTCTAAAACTGACTTCTTTAATTTTATCATTTCAAATGTGAACACCTACCGCTGCACGCTTGAGAGCTGCCAAAAATGTAATGTCTCCATTTGTGCATGTAATGGCTATTTAAAATCAGACGTCAATGTGCATGGTCAATTTTGGGGTAATTTGGCCGATTCCCAATCATTGTTTTGAAATTGTGTGGGTTTTCAATTGCCCCAAATCTGTTTCCAGTTGAATGCCCCAACCCGGGAATACCCGAAGGAGGCACCCGACGAGGACCCTCTAGCTTCATGCCAGGTGCTGAAGTGTCTTTTGACTGTCATGATGGCTACGAAAGAGAAGGTTCCATCTTCAGTGTCTGCCAAGAAAATGGTGAATGGTCCTTTCCGGCGCCCAAATGCATCCGTGAGTAAACCTATTCATAACATGACAACCATAGAATTGTGCGTAAAGCTACCATTGAAAGAGGAGATGCTTAGCAATGGATTCCCCATTGCTTAACAGCTTTTCCATTAAGTGGTTATCTGTAGAGGGTTTGCATTGCTGCTATCTTGCATTGGTGCTTTCTTCCACAGTGTATGCACCAAGGAGGTTTGTCATTGAAACAATACAATTGAATTGCCCTGTAAGATGGCAAACATGCAAAGCCTCTGCACCATCTGTGTGACCCATTTATGAAAGAGTCACAGTGCCATTTTCTTCACCAATTTTGCTTGAGTTTTCGTATATGAAGCATTTTGATGACAAGTGACATTGCGTGGGTGAAAAGTGTTCAGGGTTCCCATTGATTTCCATGGTGCCAAGATACTTGGTAACTCAAAAGCCACTTGAGACTCATTCTCATAGAACGGGTCCCCTCTATTCTCTGATTTGATCCCAGCTTCATTGGCTTTTACAGAAAAGTAGTTTTTTGGGTTTGATTGTTGGCTTTTCAACATTGCCCTCATGTGATGATGCCTTCATCAGGTGACAGGTCACGTGCCATTAAAGGTGTACTCTTAAAAGACCAAAGTTAAAGCTTTTCCAATACTGTTGTGCGACTGTTTAGGTAGAGCTTCAATGCAGGCCTTTCGAGTTTTGGAGGTACTCAAGTACATAATGTCCTTTCTTGACGTTTATGCAGTCTGACTTCAAGGAAACCAAAGTTTCAAGTTGTCTAGTTTTGAGTGAAGGAAAACCGAATGTAATTGCTTACTGGAAAAATTGATCTGTCAAACACTGTAGTGGATATACGATATATCAATTGCCGAATACTCTGTTAAGGAGAGACCCCATTCAAACGTCAATTTTATTTGTATCATTTTATCTTTCGTTGAATTAGAAATGAATGAAGGAGATGATGGCTCCTCCTTAACGTGGCTCGGCATACTTGGAGGGTGCCTCGTATTCATCATACTTTTCCTTGGTGCGCTGTGGTACATGTACTCACGCAGAAAAGGGTGCTTCAAAAGAAGTCAACAAGATTTTAATGATGGCCGCACCACTGAAATAGGTACGTTTATATGTGTATTTCAGATTCTTATACATGTATGTGAGCTGAGTACCACTTGCAGTAGTCATGCTATAAATTTGGGATCCAGTAGTATGACATTTGTGACCCACTCTGTGAAAATGAGTTGGATGTCGCAAAGTTGGAATGGAAGCTTTGGCCGTTTTGAGTGGATAGAGTGAAAATTTAATCAGAGTTTGGATTTTGTGGTTTGGTTTTATTTTGGTTGCTTTAAAGTTTTAAAAAAGTTCAAATGACTCACAAATTTTGTTAACTATTCTTGTTAAGCAATTGACAGCATCACGATTTTTAGTGTGTTTCTGGGTTAGTTGCAGTGCGTGTGTTATTTTTCAAATCCCTTTTTCTCCATTAAGACAATTCAAGGTTAGGAAAAAGTGTACAGAATGAAACAAGGACAGCAATACAACACGGATATCCTACAGGTCCATGATATACCCAAATGATCACCACTTGGTTCATTCCCTTTTCGTTGATGTAGTTAACTCAAAACTTCAGGTTTGCAACATCTGACTCATTTTCACATATCAGGTCACATTTGGCATTGTGTCCCTGTTAAACCTGACCTGTGCACTTTGACCTGGAAATGTTAAGATTTAATTCAAACTGTGTTTATTTGTGTGGCAGGTATTTCGCACAATTTCTTAATTACTCTTTGATATTGAAAGAATGTGCTCTAAACTTCTAAAAACAAATGTCAAATGTAATAACACTTTATAGAATGGCCTACCAATACTTGTGCATATATAAAATAATTCGAAACCTCATCAGAAATACTGCTTACCAGCAGATGTTAGATATCTATCCCTGCTTCTGTAGTCTCTACTACATTTACCGGTGTTCCCATAGTGGAAGTAGAGCCAATGATTTTCCGTTTCAAAAATGAGAATTTTCCGTTTTGTCAAATCCCGAATTCTGCTTCAGAAATTCAAAATCCGTTTCATACCTTTGTAAGCATGAAAATTGGAGAGCAAGTTTCAAACTATGCATGGAAACCATTTGCTCAACAACATCGCCCGCCCCCCCAAAAAAAAAATGTTGTGTGGAAATACTCTTCAATTTTTGTCACTTTTGTAAAATTTCTGTAGTGAGAATTAAAAAAAATTAGACAAGAAATACTGCACAATCCACCCCTTGGTTTCACACCAACACGCAATCGGCAAAAACTTGCTGCGATTCAATCGACAATTCATGTGCTACTCCTCGTGTATGAAATCAGCTTACATACATGTACAGCACATGTACACTGAAGTCACAGAGTACATGTAGGTCTTGCATGTAACAGTCGTTGATCACAATATGCTAATGTTGGACATCAACCCGCCATTTTATTTGGCAGTTGTGCGACAGATCAGAAAGTTAACATTCACTGAGCCTAAAAATGTATGTTTATGACTGAAAACTTCACTCTTTATTGAACACTTCCGAGAGCCCATTCAGCTACATGTATGGTGCACCAAGCTTACCAAGTTTCGTCTAATTCAAGAAATATGTAATAAGTCTTCCATTTTGCTGCCGCGGTTTCATCGTTCGCCATGCGGTACTAGCCTTGTCTCAAGGCGTCCATGCGGATTCACAGGCTAAATTCCCAGTAGCAGTAGTCATTATGTGTGAGTAAGAACTTGTTTGCGCCTTGTTTTCATTGCTTGTACGGTGTTCGTGTGAACGGCCAATGTGTGTCCATGTACAGAGTGTATTGTATACAATGTACCGTACCGCGTCGCTACACTGTATCGAGCCGGCTGCCGGTACAGTCATGGGGCTCACGCACTTCCCAGTGTCCGCACTGTCACGGCGGGGATGACCCAACCATGTGGTGGAGTGGTGCAATTTAGCACGTTTCCAGTTCATTAAAAGAAAGCATTTGCAAAAGGTTTGGTAGGCATTTATTCTTTAATCCTTTGCAGAAAGTTTTCTTTACTTTTTAATCCATTTTTAAGGGGAAATTTTGCAATTTCCATTTCAAGCAGTGGATTCCGTTTCAAAGTGTTGAATCCGCGAATTCCGTCCGTTTTCCGCGGTCGCAGAAAACCATTGGCTGTATACACGTGCATGCAGCTTATTAACCTGCTGCAGAGTGAAATCATGCTGTTTCATTTGTACATGTACCAGTACATGGATGGCTTTGAATTGGCATACCGCTGTGGACCCTTTTTCGTCATTTACCAAACCTTTAAAATACGAGTGGATGTCATATCATGCATGCTGTCTTACGCATTTTCTTATTTGCTGGAATTCCCAGAAAGTGCATAAACTGTTAAGTTAGAATACATGTATGTACATGTAAATCGTTGATTTTGACCGTGGTTGGTGTAATGGTCAAGTGATCATATTGTGACCACATCTTGCTTTACAGTTAGCATTTGTAGGATTTTATATTAAAAGACCGGGCCAGCTAAGAGAGAGTTAACCCTCAGGGGAAGGCGGGGAGATGACACTGTGACCCACACGTTGAAATGTTACACCTTCCCCCAAACTCTTGAAAAAAATCAAACTGTCCTTCCATGACATTTTTCTTTCAAGTCTTGTGCAACGTTTGATACCAAATTTGCAAAAAGACAAAACTTTTTTCGTTTACATGGCAATGAAGAGTGAGAGGTCATCCAAGAGTGAATGTTTCATGCAAACGCTTTGAAAGACATCCTTCTTATATCAAGTTGTACCGGTACATGTATGCTTTCCTCCAAAGTACGCCAAAAGCCAATGCTGTAGCCTCCCTTCAACCCTAACCTTCCCCAACCGCACAAAATTAAAAAGTAGTAAAGTGTGGATAGGTCTGGTAGGCCCATAATAGCTGGCTTTTGCATTGGGTTTGGCATACCTCAGAAAAACTAAGTCCAACAGCCTCTGTGCACAAAGTCCCATATGGGTATTTAACTTTGTGTGAATGGGGAAGGTTGGGGCAAGCAACCCTGGGGCAAGCAACCCTTGGGCAATTAGGGTTAAAGAAAAATGAATGGGGTATACCCCAAGGACGTCTGCCTGTTCTCCAACAGAGTGTTCTTGCATTTGCTGCAAATAACGAAGTAACCTCCACGATCCTGACATGCACCGTCTATCAGCCTGCTCTGAACACTACTGATGACAGTGTAGGCGATAAATAATTGAAACAATAAAATACAAAGAGGAAAGGAATGAGAAACAATAAAAAAAACATAATGTGTATAATGAATGATTGTGTCTATGTATAAAATGTACAAATGGAAGCAGAATATCAAAGTAAAATAAATGAATATATCTCGGAGATATTCTGCTCACTAAATACGTACAGTGTATACTGTACCTTTTAAAAATGTATGATATAATGCACATGTTGATTGTAGTTTGAATAACAGTCCCTTCCACTCAGGTGACTGTCGTGGAAGTAAAGGTGTACAAAATGTTTACTTCTACTTTTGAACGAAAGGCTAACTTTTAGTTGCTCTTAAAAGGAGTTTATACTGAATATGGTTTGACATTGTCTTCTTATACAAGGTTCATCAATCATGTCTGAAGAGGCCCTGCTGGAGAAGACCCCACCCCACATTCCAGAGATACATCCTCTAGAGTTACACGTTTATGTAAACACTGAAGGTGTGCTGGTGAGATACACATTAAAGTCTGAAAGTGAAATATTTGAGGATGATAATTTGAACCTCAGTTGTAGGCATGTTGTCATTTCAGGTAAATCTGGCAGTGGTAAAAGTATGTTATTGTCAAAACTATTTACAGACCATATGGAGAGAAAATCTGGGCTATTTCATCATGTTCCTCAAAATACTGTAGTTCAAGTTGATCACACCAACTTACACAATGTGCTTGTAAAACTCACTGGTATCAAGAGAAGTATTTGTTATCGCCTGCACCTATGCAATGTATTGATCCTTATTGACGACTGTAATGATGAAAGGGACATGAAATATGTCATGGAAGGTATTAAAAACAAAGGTCTCCTTGATTGTCATGTAGTTATGACTACTACAAATTTCACTGCAGCAAGAACTATGAGCACAGAATATAAATTGCGTCATGTGGCAATAGCTGATCTCCATTCTGATACTCATGGATTTGCAGAAAAGTTTGTGCGTAGATTAAAAACGATTTCAAAAGAAACAACTCTCTTAGAATTCTTGAATACACATGTTTTATTCCCAAGTATAGTTCGTTGTGCAGGCTTTTTGAATTTTCTTTGTTTGTTACACTTCAACACTGATTGTGTGAGACCTCATTCCACTGTTGGAAGTCTTATCGAAACCAAACTAAACGACATGTTTAGAAAACTTGAAGGTGACGTCTTGGCTTATGATAATAGAGACATGCGCACTTCTTACCAGGGACGTTTTTTGACCAGTTGTGGCAAAGTGTGTCTATCCAGGATGATTAACGGCTCGGAAAATCCAGCAGAGGTTCCCAAAAAGGATCTTGTTGATTCATTCGAAAACGGAGATGTTGTAGCCAAGGGATTTAAAATGGGGCTTTTCAGAGAGTTCAAACGACAGGCTTTACAGGGTGAAGATTTTCGTTTGCTATCAAGCACTGATATGTGTTCGGTCAAATTCTGTCAGGAAATCATTGCAGAATTTTGTGCCGGCAAGTACTTGGCTCAATCTGCCCAAGAATGGATCGGGATAATTGATGTCAACACTGAGATGCTGGCACATGTGTTGGTCTTTGCTGGGTCAGACAATTACAATGCTGCTTGTACAATTGTCAGTCGTTTGATTGAAATTATCAGTCAACAAAGACAAAGTCCTTGTAGTCTTAAGGATGAGATTCAGTTGGAAAAATGGATTGAGATATGCCTTGAAATAAACTGCGAGGGAAGATATGAAGGGCAGTTAAACAAAAAATTGAATGAGCTCTTTCCAGCTGGACAGCTGCGTTTCATTGGTGTTTCCAGCCACAGGGCCAGACTGTTAGCGTACTTGTTGAAGTATCACTCAAAAAACAAGTATAGACTTAATCTGAAGTCTGTTCAGTTGTTCCGTGTAGAGAAACTGCCTTGGAAAGAGCTGGAAGACTATTTGAAGTATTCTTATCCTGACGCCTTGGGAAACCTGAGGAGTGGAAATGAAGCCTCCAACTCAGAAGAGACAGCAGTTTCAGTGCGTAAACAACTTGAGTCACGAGAGAGGTACATGCCCGAGTTCCCTTCTTACCTGTCGGACAGAAATGTCGTCCATACCATCCACTCCTTGGGATTACAAGAGATCGGGGAGTTGCAATATGATGAATGTCATTCCTCATCAGCAACTGCAGATCTGGCTCAAAATCTCCATCGATTGGAAGATCTTGAATCGATTGTTCTTCTGGGACCGGTTATTGGTTCCCAGCGGATTCGAGACCTTGCCCACGATATTAATAAGCTCAAGTGTTTGAAGAAGATGGACCTCCGTCTCAATACTGAAATGGACGACAGAGCTTTTGGAAAAATAGTGACAGAGCTTTTTGCTTGTGAAGACCTTGATGACCTGAGAATTTCTCTACGCAAAGTCACTGACAAAGGATTTTCCGAAGTGACGCGGAAGATTTTGGAAGTTGAGGCGCTGTTAAGACGGTTAAAGACACTGCATCTTCTGCATGTTGGCGCCGTTGAGCCTTTCTGCAATTTCTTCCGAGGAATTCTGCAATACATGGACAATCTTCAGTTTCTCCGTGTATCTTGCTTGGCCGAAGATAAGGCATCAAGTATACTAAAAACGCTTGATGGATGGAGACGAATTCCGAATCTTAGAGAGCTTTACGTCAACGAAAAGGATGTATTAACGTCCAAAATGGTTGAGCAGCGTGCAGGAGGTGTAACAGGTGCTCCATCCACGTCAGGGCTTGGCCTTGAGGAAGGCGGATCAGGAGATGCAGTGTTACAAATGGAATCAACGGTGTAAATTTCGTGATTCCAACTCAAGGGTTCCTTTGTTCTGCATGTTGAGCATAGCTGGACTTCCATTTGCACTTCCGTAACAGAACAGAATGCCAAACAAGGCCCACATAAGTGTAACGTCCAGAAGATGCCGAGACCCCCTGTGTACGTGTGCATGTACATGTTCATGTACCTTGGGCCTTGACTCATTCCAGTCAAATACCAGCTTCAGAGAAAGCTTGGACATTCATCTTGAAACAAAATGGTGTAGACCACTTTGTTTGGAGTAGACCTAAATGCTAAGACCAAGTTTGCGAGTAAGTCCAGGAAAATTGGATGTGTGGCTGTTTGTGTGAACGGGGGAGGGTGTCTCAGTTTTTCAATGTACTTCTTTTGGTTACACTTAGTGATGTGTCACTTTGTGATGGCTGCTGCCGATGCTGCATGTTTGTATCACGTGTACATGTGTTTCGTCCTTCATTTTGTTATTTAGTGTCACTGAGGCAGTTTGGACAAAGCAAAGGTTTTCTCATACCCTTTTCTGCTCAGCGTACACTTGTTTAGAATTATTTGGTAAATATAACTTTTGGTGAGGAAATAGTGGTAGGAACATAACCTTCGAATACAGAGAAAAAGATGATCGATGACTCGCGATGTCGTGTTGCCGGTAGCGACGTAACCTTCTATGGCTTGATTTTTTTTGCCATTGTATATTCAGTGAAATATCAACTATCGTAAATATTTAGCGGTATGGCAGTTGGAAAGTCCTTAATTACACTGCTTTGATAGTCAAGAATGAAGATATGACAGGTCTTTATGCTTCATTGAAGTAATTTTGTTGAGGTATTTTCCTTAATGTGGTGTTTGCTCTGTTTGGTCCCGCTTGAAGTGGGTCAAATGTTTGTCGGATTATGAGGTTTGTTTCCCGAAGGGAATATAAGGAAATGTGTAGCAGTTTCTCTACTCTTTTTATACATGTACGTCGTAAACTATCATTTTTGGTGGTCATCATATGCGACAAGTTGACAACTTCGGAGCGTCAGTGTCATCTTTAAATCGTGACAAGATGGATAAAAAGTCGTCCATTGGGTTTGCCCTTCAACTCAGAACTCGAAGTACATATTCGGCAGTTTTTCTAGTAAAAACTGCCCACCACCTGTGGCACGCATGCTAGATTCACTCGGCCAATACTTATTCATGTTATCAAACTATGTTGACAAAAGACTTCAAAAGTATCATTTTGAAAATAACAGTGTAGTACACTGATTTCAGGTTTGCAAGATTTGTTGATGCCTAGCTACATCTGCGCTCGGCACCTGTGTACCTGCACTTACCCGAGGCTGCTTTTACGATGTGATTATCCTTCTGTTGCAGTTCCTGTTTCATGCGAAAGGTCCTCTCGTTGGTACACAAGTGCGATTTACTGCACCGAGTTATATACTGCATATGTAAATGTACTTCTGCTATCTAAGGCACTTTTCGGAGTTTCATATGGAAACATGCTCCTGGGTAATACCGGTAGTCATGTGCCTCATGTCTGTGCCTCATCCCACTCTTGAACAGTTAGGTCTGAAAACCGTGGTTTTGTTTTGATGCTAGGCTGCAGGTTTTTTGGCTCCATGAGTTAGCCCCCGTCAGACGAGACCATCCTTCTTGTATCAGCTTCATATCAGCTCCATTTTCGGCTACGCCTGCCTCAACTTTATACCTTGTGTGATGCAAGAGTTCAGTTTTTTTCTAGTAGTAGACGTACATTGCACCTTAGGAAGACATTTTAATAGCTCAAAATGAAATGAAAGTAAAGGAGAAGTTGGACGTAAGCTTCTGTTCTATGTCTGTGCCGACGCGCACAGTCACCGTCTCTGGCTGTTATATACTTGTACAAAACACCGAGATTCAAAATTTCAAATGAGTTCTAACCATTTTTACATTTAGATTGTGTCCAGCTTAGCTCAAAATTGAGGACTTTAGGGGAATCTCTTGTGTCCTTGTTTTGTGGATTCCATTCTGGTATTGTTATGGATCAAATGAGTATTGGTACTTGCGGCAGAGTACCAATGATATTGTGTTTTAATACCCCGCGATGTCTGGTACTATAATTTGCTGAATTTGATTCTTACAGATGACTAGTGATGTCGCTTTGTATTAGCCAATGAGTGTCCTTGTGGATTATCAGATGAGATAGTGTACTCCATTCCAGGTCCGCATGAATGTTCGTGATACATGAACATGATTCCCCAGTGTAATTACCGGCAATGAATCTTGCAGCTCTATTGTGAACTCTGTCCAGCTTGGGCTTACCAGATTTGTCATGGGGATCCAATATGGCTAAGCAAGTTCCAGTTTGATGAGTGAGTTGTAGGCAGTACATAGATATGGTACCATTGTTAAGATTCGTGACACTTCAGTAATAGTTTTCACAAGATTTGCTAGGTTTACTATGAAGTGCTGCTTGCATATTGTGTGGAATGTTGCACGAGTGCATTTGTTCCCCAGTAATTTCAAACTCGCTCAGAACGTGCATGCTCTTCGGCTTGTCTGTATTAACTCACAAACTGCTTCATGATTGCTAGACCTAATGTTCCATGGTATAATAACTCACTTACAAAATCAAAGCTGAAAAAGGCGAGAAAATGGAAAGCGTCACGTTCTGATTTAGATTTTAGGAATTTTAAGTCGAAGAACCATCATACTTACCTGGCGAACAAGGCTCAAGGACTGTTTTAGAGTAATTTAATTAATGAAAATTCAGGTGACCCGGAGTAAATTATTAAAGGTTGCTAAATTAATGTTTGGTGATCACCAGGAGGTTCCTCTTCCAACTCATTTGAATCCTTTCAGCTTGGATGTATCATTTGGTGAATTATTTTGGGGAAAAGTAGATAAGAATGAAGCTTGATGGAATGTCTATAGACCCACCAGCTGGTGTAGGATATGATGCTCGTCACAGTCTTCAAGTGCCACTTTTTACAAAGTTTACTGAACTTTCATTTAATGATCTTAGATTAATAACAGAAAGGCTATCTATTAAATCTTGCCCTCTTGATTCCATACCGACCAAACTTGCTAAGAGAGGCATGCATATTCTGATTACTGGAAAGAAGCCTTAATCTTGCCAGTTTTGAAGAAAACAAATCTTGATTTGGTTTTTAATAATGACAAACCGGTTAGCAATTTGTCATTCATAATCTAAACTTGTTGAGACGGCTGCAGTTGATCATATTCAGGATCATATGAAAAAAAAACTCAAGCACTTGCTGTTCAAAATGATATTCTTTTAAATATTAGTAAACAACATTTAACATTATTAGTCCTTTTGATTTACCGTAAGTGCAGCGTTTGACACTGGATCAGGATATACTTTTAAGGCGTTTAAATTCTTGCCTTGCCTAAAATTACACCTCTTCAGAACAAGATTTGTGATAGGGAGTTTCAGTTGCTGGTCCTACACTATGGAATTCACAACAAACTTTACATGACTTTAAAGATAGACTGAAGACCTACCTTTTTCACAAAGCTTTTGGTCCTTTTATTTATCTCCCACTGGTAACATAAGCACTCGTACTTACTTTGCTTTTCCTATTTAGCTAATTATTGTAATTGAATGTAATTGTGTATGTAATGTAATTTAATATAATTGAACATGCGTATTTACGTTGATCGTTATGGTTTTGGGAATTCATTTGAATAATTTTATGTGGTTTATATGTCTAATTTTGATGTATATTTTAGGTGTAATTGCGATACTTTTAATGTTTTTAATTGTAAGGCGCATTTGATCATACTTTATTGGGAAATGCGCGGCATAAACGTTAAATATTATTATTACGTGTACTTGTATGACTATTCATGAAGCCAAATATAACGTGTACTTGCCTGGTAGCCTGCAACAGGCAAGCCTGTGTTCTTTTTGCCTGCAGGTGTTATTAGACAAGCAACACAATATGTTGTTCTAAATTTACAGTGCCTTGTGAACAATTTACATGTAGTCGAAAAATCGTTCTGCTTAATATGTAATAGACACTATTTAAAAAAATGATTCATTATGTTTGTGTACATGATGAAAAAATATTAACACTTCCAATAGCCCTCTTTTATACTTTGCATTTCTCTTTTGTAATTTAATAGTTTATTTTTTCCAACTCGGAAGCTTGAAACCAAAATGAGACTCGATTTTTGCAATTTTAAATTGGGTCTTATAAGGAAGTCTTTTTCGTTGCAAAATGTACTTATGAACTTTTAGACGTCTAATTATGAGAATACATTTACTTGTATATCTTGTGTTTTCTGGTTGGGGTCTTACAGTTTTAGAAAAAGTGTAGTATGGCAGGATGTGATGGCCATGCTCGTATTTTGTTTTCGTTTCTTTGAAATTAATTTTGCTGCATTTCTCACTGAAACAAACTGAAATTGTTTCACCTCGTCCTATTAATTTGTTGGTGCCTCACGACTGAATTGTACAGTGAGCACGTGGAAAATATTCACCCGTAAAGAATGGATATTGTAATGTAAATTCGGCCTTCCAAATGATTTGGAATGACAGGATTTACCTCGTCGTCCTGGCAAAATAAAGCCTCACGGGACATCTTGCCACGATGGCCTGGTAGCTCAACATGATGAATTTAGTCTTGTCATTTAATTAAAACAAACTTGTAATCTTGTACATGTACATGCATAATTTGACGTAAGCTTAGAGAGGTTTGCCGGAACTCCAAGTTGGTACAACGTATTTTGTAGTTGTTGAAGAACATGTGGGCTTGATGAGAGTGGGGGGGGGTACTGACGCGCGGTCATTGTTTTACAGACCTTAATTTTTCTGAACGTATAGATATCTGTGTTTCTTACAAAGCTCACTTTTCCTTAGGGTTTCAGTGGACAAAAAAGTGTGTATAATGTAGCTAGTACAATACACGTGCCATTAAATTGGCTTTAGTACAATTCGAAAACCAGAATTAGTAGCCATTACTGCAGTGCCATAATGCTGGTAGACATGTGGTACATGTCCGTGCGCGTTAAATGCCTCTTTCACCAATAGGGTGTCGTGATTTGCCAAATGTATGCGCGCGTCAAGCCTCAGATTTTGCGTGTGGGTGCGGTGCCACCATAGTGCGTCCAATCAGATTGGTCTACATGAATATTGTAACGAATATTTTTCGGAGCAAGGAATATCTGATGGTCGGTCTTTATTAGGAATAGATGTAAATTCATGTATGCTTTCATTCTTTATTTTTAAATAAATTTATGAAAATATTCATTTTAGTGCAGTGTAGATTCGTATTCGTATTGCATGTAATTTCAAGCGAGAGCTGTACTTGTGACCAAAGTGGTTGCAAGGCGAGCGCGGGAAATTGAACAAGGTTCATTTGTATACATATATCTGAACAATGACTTTGACATAGTTTGTTCATCGGCACATAAAATGTGCCTTTGCTGTTTATTTGTTAAGTTCAAATATATTCAAATAGTTATTTCTTTTCTGAAGTATATACATGTAGTTTCGCGTGGGCGTTCAATGCGAATACGTTCCTTGTTTGGACACAGGTCACGTTTGCATGCTGCCTGTTTCCAACTGTTCGTTATATTTTTGGTGACCAAAGTGTGTGCAAGGCTAGGGAGCATGGGAATCGAACAAGGTACTTGTAGATATGCATTTTCACATAAACGATTGATGAACAAAGGTTTTCATAGTGTGTGTAAATCAGTACGTGAGGTATGCCGTAAAAAGTCACATTAACACCCCTGAAGTGTCTGTTTGATTTGCTGCAACACTTGTGAAAGGGACTCTGGACTCATTTACTACAAACGCCTGCCTAATTTCTCTTTGGAGCACCAACAGAAAGCACTTTCATATCGTGATCTCAAACGTTCTGTTGTACGTGCTCAGTGTTTTTCTGCAGGATTGGTGGTGTTCCTTTCTAACACACCATTACATTGAAAAGTAAGTTAAAATATTTGCCACCTTTTGGAAATGTGTTGTTTTCCTACTTTGCGTAAACCATGCTTCACGTTCCTGCCTTTTCGGAACAGGTAGTTAAACTGACTTTTTACCAACAAAATCTAACTTCTCTTTTTAAGAACTGTGTGCATCCTGTGCATATACCTTATGTTTGCCCTTGTACATATGTACAAGTAGGTGCATGAGTGACATGAATTAGATATATACATCGAGGCTGCATTGGTTTCCTGACAACATGCAGACCCACCATAGCGGGAACGTCGACTACACACAGTTATTTGATACTGTTGATAAATGTAAAGGTTGACCGTAATAACTGCCTTAAGTATTTCGACAAAAGTGTACTTATGTACAGTACCTTATTTATATTCATGTACATGGTAACCAAAGAAGCATATTCAGAACAACTCATTTTCATGTGATGATTTTAAAGATTTAATCAACGATTTGTGTATATTTTAGTGACGTGTAATGCAGTCTTTTAAAGCTGATTTTTGTACATAATTTTGTCGTCTCCAGTTAAGGAACCAGGAAATAGAAATATTTTTATAAATTTTACTAAAAACCCTTGAAATTGCAACTTTGGGTTTCAATTAACCTCATTTAAAATTTTTGTTTTCCAATTTTAACCCATATTTTGATTCTTTTTTTGCTTTTATGCTAATACTATTTGCATATTCATGAGCAGAACATCCAACGCACGGAATCTCAATGTTGCACTGATTTGTGCTCAGAAAATTTCTAGATTTTTTTAACCGCTTCTTTGAGAGATTTTATTTTCTTTGGCAATTTATTGATGTGTAAGTATATGGCAATAGTCCAGCAAAAATCCTTTTCACAGAAATGTTCCCAGATAGCTAATTTGGGGTTCAAAGTGTGAACAAGAAACCTGAACCATGTCTTCCTGGACTTGCATCAAAGCAAAAGCGCCCTCACTTGTTCAGGAATGCTTGGTCAATTTTTAATGTTTGGAAAAAGTGACCGTTCAGTTCATGTAACAAAAAAAAAGATGTCAAACAGTCTTCATTCATGGAAGAAGAGAACAGAGATAAAAAAAAAGTGATTCTAAGAAAAATTCATTTCCTGGATCCTTAAAATCACTGAAAGTGCCAAATTATGGCTTTATCCAAGGAAGATCTATGAGAAATAAAATAAATATGGGCATATGCGAGTGCTCCTTGGCAAAAATTTCACGGGTCATTTTGGTGTTGTCTCTCGGAGTGTTACAAGGCTTGTGGACTGGGATGGGGGAGTAACCACCCTGCTTCTGATACCAAAACCATCCCGGAAAACGTGACTTAGACTGCAGTCCAGGAAAAAAAAAAAGACTTCAAATATTATTTGGCCGCCGTTGTCTAAAATACAGTGTAGGGCAAAAACAGAAACCCACCGAAGTATGATACAAAATAAAATCCTGTTAATCCTGTGTCATGTGGAAACATGTTCGGGTGCTTTCAACTGTTTTCCCATTTTTTCTGATGTTCTAAATGAGCTGCGTTTTTTCGTACAGCTCGGGCTTACCCGCTGCTGGGGAACTAGAGGTCGAGGAGAGTGTTGACGAAAGGTATGCTCATACAATATCCAAAAGCATTCACCAATCATTTAGCTGAAAAGAGGTTGGAAAGAATATTCGGGCTTTTCTGATTTACCGTAACATGGGGTAACTTTGGTAACACACAAAAGGGTTTGAAACGTTATTCTCTCAAACTTACAGTGGATGCAGACGTACACGTTGTCTTTAGTATCACTTTATTAAGAAAAATAGTTATTCATTACTTAACATTTTCATTGTTTTGGTAACCATGGTAACCATTTTATTTTGATTTTCATGCCCTGTTTTGATGAAGACCAAGAACAGAAGGTGGCCAATGTTGCCCAAAACCCAGGGTAACTTTGGTCACCTTTTTTTAAGCCCTAAGACGCCAATACATTTTGAAATTCTTTTTTTTTTCTGCATTGAGGTTTAGATGAATATCACAATGCTCTGAAAAGAAGAGAAATTGTTAACTGAGAAGAAATGATATCATACTTGTTAGAAATGGCCCCAAATTACCCTATGCTACTTTACCGGTCCAAAAAAACTCAAAAATAATGTAAGGATAGACTAAACGATAAAAAACTGGAGATTCTTTTATTCGAAAGGACGAGAAATTCGAGCCCACTCGAATCAAATAATCTCTACATTTGGAGTCAGTTTCTCCACCATAAACTACGTCTCTCTGTCCCGTTTTTGTCTACATTGGACAACGGAACAAAACATCTTTACAACTGCTTTGAGCCGTCACGTGAGATAAATTCCATCCATTGTCTAGGGTGGCCAGCTATGTTGGTGAATGGAGGAAGGAATGGTTGGTGCAGGTGTTCTGGCCCCAACCGGAAATTGGTAACACTTCGGCTGGGTGAATAACTATTTTGTTCACACGCAGAGTGCATGCTTATAAAGTTAGACACACTGGCATGCAGTCAGCATCATCAGTGGTTCGTAGTGCACACCCTGTGTCTTCATTTTCTGACAAGTTCAAAAGGAAGTTACCCGTGGAAATGTGCTCGTTTGTTGCCTTTGATGCTAGCGTTGTAACTCTGCGGAGCTGGGGACTTATTACACAA